AGACATACTAGTTCTTGTTCAGACCTACAGGATCTCAGAACCTTTTAAAGAAAATCATTAGCTATGTTAAATACAAAGCCTTCTAGCCTGTAGCTGAAATGAACACTATACCATTGTCAAAGCTTTCTTGAACAATGTGGTATTAGTTCATTAGTGTAGCTTAATTGGACAAGAACGTGATGTGGGGTGATATGCATGACAATAAAACAGAGAAAAGAGAATGCTGTACGTAATAATTATATCAAACTCATATGATCTGAAATTATGCTTTGTGCATATGTTTTCACTTTTTACCCATATAGTCTTGGACTAAGACTTGGGTCTTAAGAGCGGCCCAAATTTATTGGATTCAAAATGTAATGCTGGAAAGAGTTGTCTTTGTCTGGTTATATGCATCTGTTGCTACTGGGGAATCTAAATCAATAGCATCAAAGTCACACTGAGTAGAATCAATGTTATCCTCAAATTGCCTAAGCAACTTACCAGCGCAGGCCTTTATGTCTTCCAATTTAACATCCCATGATCCAGATGTTGTCTTTCCTAAGCCTTCAGAGAAAGGATCTGGCCAAATGGACTGCTGGTGGATGGGGCAGTGGTCAGTTTACCATTCTCAGGACCACAAAATAAGCATGCTACTATGCTTTAATTTATCTGATTTATTCACTGCGCAAGTTACTTCTCATTTGTTGAGTGAAGAAAGATGTCAAATAGATGCTACAGGATTGGAAAGGAGCAAATACATCCTAGACATACTGAAACAAGGAATCTTATTGGATAGTGAAGAAGAAATGTGAAGAAGAAATTTGTGAATCAATACACCAATTGTGTGTGTGTGTATGTGTGTGATATATATATATATATATATATATTTGTTTTCTGAGGTTCTCGCGGGTATTTATATGTGGATCTTTGGTTGTTCGGGTTTTCTCCCGCGTAAGATTCGAAGTATCTAGGCAACGTTTCGATGAAGTCTCATTCATCATCTTCAGGCTTCTGTCTCCGGCTCTGTGCTTTTCAGAGTAATGTGAGATTGCAGCTGCTTCCTCCTTTTAACTGCCAGTGGGGGTGGGACTTGATTGGGTGGGGGCTTGGCTCCAACCAATCAGAACACGGCTAACCCCCCAACCAATCAGAACACAACCAAACCCCCTACCAATGAGAACACACCCCCACCCAATCAGAACACA